CGAGTCGTTAGCCATTACACCACATCCAACATTCCCAAACAGCCATCCACCTAGGTATTGACCAGGCTCGACGTTGCTTAACTTTGGTAATCGTAAGGGAACTGGTATTTTAACGTGATATGGCTGTGATATTCAAAAATACTTCTTCATCGAATTTAATATTTTTAATTCAAACGTATAACTATTTCAAAATTCTCAATATCGGTAATCTGACCTCTTAAAAACAAACGGTTGGGTTAGGATATAAATCTTGTAGATGCCTTGTGCATTCCTGAAGGCTTTCCATGTTCCCAGTCAACATCAAAGAGGCATTACCGTAAATCAAGACCTCCGAGCGATGGATGGACTCTCTGCAATTTCCGTGGTAGATGTTACTTCTTTCCTGTCGGCTGCACCGGCCACAGGCGAACTTACAACAGGCATAGAATTCCTCCCAGTTCATCGGCCGCGAAACCAGGCTATGATGATATTAATAACAATTAGGAGTTTATTATTGTCTTTCTCTGCATATAAAACGTACCTTAAGTTTAAGTTAAAATCTATGAAAGAAAAAAATAAAAATATACTTCAAACATTTTAATTAAAGAAAAACAAATATATCAAATTTAAATTGCAAATTTAAAAAAAAAATGAGAAAGAAAAGCAGTTAGATTGGAAATTTTAACTGCTTCGAAATGCTTGTTCACTAATATCAGAATCTTTGAAGTTTGAAAATTCCAATCATCTTCATTATCAGAAAATGTGCCGAGAAAAACAAGCTTTTAACGATAAAGTCTAATTACGTTTTTTAGTTCTAAAACTTATTTAAACTCGCGCTTTGTAATGCTGAGGATAACGTTAACTGGCCTGCTGAATAGGCACCGTTAACATCAAATAAATAGCAGTAATAATGGTTGTAGTAGTAGTAGTATCAGGGTTGCAGTAGTTTTAGTAGTAGTAATTTGAATTGTGATGGTGAAGAGTTACTCCATCAAAAGATTTATAATCGGCTTTAATTGATGAGGAAGAAGCAAATGGTAATTTTAAAATTTGTGCAGATACAGGAGGTAGTAGCTGTTGTAGTAGTGAGAGTATTAGTCGAAATAATATAATAAAAATATGAAGGGATTTTCAATGCCGTAAAGACAGGGTGCGATGGATAAATTGTCGTCTAGATTACGCAAAAATAAAAATAACAGGTTGTCACTTTCAGACAGGGATAAGTCAATACTCATGAAAATTCCCCATCATGTCCATGAAAGCTTTGAATTAGCTGACCCACAATGCACAAGTGCTGTCATCACTTCCTGTTAATCTGTAATTAAAAATAAAGAAAAATAAAGAAAAATAAAGAAAAATTCAATATTAATGTCAAATTAGTATTTTTTTATTTTTCTTTAAAGTAGTTTTTTATATCAGAAATTATCAGATTTGAACTTTAATTGACTTACTTTTAATATCAAAGATGCAAATTTGAAACCTCAAGACCACCAGTCCTATACTCTATTCCTGCATGGCAACTGGCAGCTTGACACTTTAATCAGTCTTTCATAAGATAACCTGATGACTGTTCAATGAATGCAGTATTGATTTCTTTGTTGACACTCTTATAATTACATACACTTTATTCCCAATATTTGAACACCCTTCCTACATAAATTTAGTAATTCTAAACTATATATATATAGATCCCACATTAATCCCGTTTATTTTACATATAAAATATAAAGCTGTCTATTTTAAATACAATATATATATATATATATATCCAGTGTTTACTGCATTCTGCTGAGGTTTCTTCTAGACTCGATGAATTACTTAATTATGATGATTTCAAATCCTCGTAATAAATACATTCACACACACACACACACACACACACACACACACACACACACACACACACACACACACACACACACACACATATATATATATATATATGTATCTTGTTTTCTTATAATAATAAAGAATAAATCTCATGTAATATGTACTGCACCAGCATTGGGTTAATAAGATATTATTATTAGAATTTTAATTATGTAATGATCAATCATGAACACAGAGTGCTAAAGGTGAGGAGTAATATATATATATATATATATATATATATATATATATATATATATTCCTCACTTTTTCACTTTTAGTATTTCAATATATTTTTGTGTAATTATGGTAAATATATCTGTTAAACTGAAATGTCAGTATTATTTTCATTTTTGTGTAATTTAGACGGCAATTTATTCATCGAACTATCTCTCTCTCTCTATATATATATATTTACACAAATATATATATTTACACAAATATATATATATATATATATCATAACGATATACCATTTTGTATATATCAAAAACAATTTTAGGTGAACTATGACAAAGCGGAAAAAAGCCTTTGTTTGCTTTGTTTCGTCCTAAAATAGTAAAGTAGTAGTAAAGTACACACACACATGCACATGCGCGCGCTTCACACGCACACACATAGGGTGCGATAGATAAATTGTCGTTAGGTGGCCAATTGTAAGTGGGTGATGTGGTCGCAGAAATTATCTGACAGCCATGGGTGGGTTCTCCTGCTTGTGTGGCAATATGTAGAATCCTGTTACCAGATATAGGTTCTTCCAGCAGCCACCCTCTTGACCCAGGGCAGCACTACCTTTTAAAGGCACTTGATGTAGGCATTCGTGTTAAATCTGAGGCCTTGTAGTAAGATTAATAGAGGCATAACGTCGCTATCACAAGTGATCTCTCCAGACACCTTCGCAATGACCATTAGACTCATCCAACTCTTTTTTTTTTTTGACACCCAAACACTCTGAAATGTTCGTATTGGAACTGTCGGCACGAATATCTACAGCATACTGTTTCCAAATTTCTGGTGTTGTGAATTGCGCCATGGTTTTTCTTTTTCTCACAGACGGTGTCCGACTGACTCTACTGTAAAGTCCACAATCTCGAAAACAAACAACGCTCATGCGCAAAATAAAAAATATAAAATGGCGGCAATTTACTCATCGCACCATGCATATGGTTAGTTTTGTTGCCAAGAGGAAAAATGCGACTGAATCATTATAGTATATATAAAATTACAGCATTCCCCCACTCTTCGCAAATATTCTGATATCACAATGTGGGATGTTTAATTACAGAAGCGATATAAACTTAAACAAAAAGACTAAGCATATAAATGAAATTGACTACTCAAGCACATATTAAAAAAAAAAAAAAATTAAATTTAAAAGTTTTAATTTTCAGTGTCTCTTTCCCTTCGCCTGTATGTGTAGTTGCATCAACGTAAGCATCACTTTAGTCCGATGAAGTCATAATGAACGAAACGTGTCACGCGAAAAAGATTTCTACCTTGTCATTAATTTTCCTAACAGTAAATTCTTAACGGCCAAATTCTAATTTTAATATATTCTAAGAAAAATACCATTCCTTACAATTACGTTAGAAGACACCTTGATTTCATGATACCGACGTTATGTTGTATAATATTTTTAAAAATACATTTGGTTTGAAAATAATCAAATTTTTTTATGTAGAAATCAAATGAAGATAAACAACGTAAACAAAACTAAAACAAAACAACCTAAAAAAAACATTATTTTTACATAAACTACAAAGTAGACATTAGTGTTTTGTCTTCTAATTTCTTTACTGTAAAACACTCCATTAAAAGGTATGAAAACCTGTCTATATTTCTGAGATGAGGTATTATGTACACTATTTGCATTATTCGGACTATTGTTCTCATTTTTGTTGGCATATTTATCACAACGTTTCCTTAAGGACACATGGCACAGTGGATAAAGGCGTTGGTTAGATCCAGTGACAGGACCCAAAAGAGTTGTGAGTTCAATACATGGTTAAGGCAGTGAAGAACGTGGAGAGGTAAGTTAACAGGAGAGAACTGATAACTGACATCCATTAGACATGGCACGTGGAACTAGAACAGTCTACCCCAGTGAGCGAAATAAAGGGTTCAGTTCATTCCACCCACCTGAAGAAGGCCGGTGCGTATAACGGCTGAAACGTTGTGATAAATATGGCGACAAAGATGAGGACAATAGTCCGAAGAATGTAAATAGTCTATGAAAACCTATTTTCAATGAAGTTTTACAAAGCGTGTACGTCGTCTAGTTTGTCTATAACTGTCAATTTGCTTTAGAATTATAGTGATTTTCTAAGTGTAGCTTAGATGTGGCACAAGGCCGAAAGTATGGGGCTCCCAGCAAGGATCAAATTAATTTTTCTAGTGAGACAAGCTTGCTAACCATTACACCACGTCGAGGTGTCCCTCCTTTAGAATTATGTGTGCAAATCTGAATGAGTGAAAAATAAAACTTGTAGCAGAAGTTAGAAGGGACTGAAGGTTTCGTAAAAAACTACAGGACATGTCAGTAAAAAAAAAATGATTGAAATCTGACGAAACCGAAAGATACGAAGAGTTGAGTAAATCAGAGATTCGAAATGCATGGCGTGCAACTTTGAACGAAAAATAACCTTACCTATTGGAATTGATTTTCTTTAAGAATTTGATGATTCACAGGAAAGTCAGATTTTAATGAGAATAATTGGTTAGAGTCTTTAGCTAGTTGAAAATAACTGAATGCAATCCAATGTTATAAAAAAATTTTATCGATGAGATTCCGAGTTGGAAAGGCATTTTGATCCTCTTTTAACTTAGACACACTAACCTTTTTAATAGTCATTCCAATTCCAGATCACAGTTTTTGTTTGGGAAGCTTTTATTTGGTAGAGAATGTTGACTGTTGTTCAAGATCATTCTCATCCCAACTGTGAATACCTATGTCATCAGCATAGCCTCCATTGGCCTCGGGAGGGAAAGAAAGAATCCTATTATTAGATTCGTCTGAGATGTGGTGTGGGATGCTTAAATGATCAGTGTCCATTTCTTCACATCTGTGGACTTGAATATGCACAAATTGGTAACGGTACCGTTGTTGTAATCCTTAGTGTCATTATCGTCTGCTTCTGTGACATTCATTGAACCGGAGAAATAAAAAAAAGAAATGACTGGGAATATTAAAGTGGTAAGAAAGAATGAAGAGAGAGAAGATTGAATTATAGAAAATTATAACTGGAGGGAAAAAAGAAAGTGAATGTATAAGAGAAACAGATTGAGAGAGATATACCGTTTTTGCCAGCCTAGTGGACGCACACAGTGTACGCCCCCAGAATTTGGCATGAAATATTTAGGAGAGAATGCACACATCACAATAAAAATAATAACCTAAACTTTATGTGACATTCTCACTAACCATAAAGGAACAGTATTAGTACAAATTATACTACTGTGAGTAGTAGTGAGAAGTGAGGTAAGCTTTAATTACTGGGACATTTTTTGGAAAAGAATTTTAATGCATTTCATCATGTATTTACTGAAAATTGTTTTAGTTGCTTTTCAGGGAGCAGCATATGCACATATAGTAAATTCATAAAGAAATTATACAGGTATCAGTGAACACTGGTACATATGGTAATAGGCAAATAAACATAAATATGGTACTTGTTGATAAATGAAATCCTATAACATACATGCAGAAAAGCATATTCCAATGCCTGTATATCAACAAAAACACATACAAAGCAAGTCAGTCAAAGTAAATATTTCTGTAAAATCTTGTATTTCTACAAAACAAGCAACAAAATAGTGTCCAATTCCATCATTTTTTAAAATTTCCTGTGTGAATTTTTCAGGGATATTTTTTTTCATTGATATCGTGTTTGTTGACTTCCAGGAGTCCTAGTTTCATAGCGAAGCTCTATGCATGGAACTGATTCCTGTTGAACCCCACGTGGTCTTCATCTCCTTCTCATACATGATACGACTGTATTGAACACAGGGTAATATTTTGGTGCATTCTCTTGGCAAAAAATCGCATCCAGTAGGCGAGCAAATACGGTAATCACAGGGATATACTTGAATGTCTATGAGATGATATTTTAAAGAAAATTACATAACATATTTACAGATATTGAAATATATATTCACTGAAGGAGTTACTTAATTGTTAAATTATATATATATATATATATATATATATATATATATATATATATACCAAAACTGGAAAAAAGTTTTCTTATGACGCGTTTCATACTTTAGGGCTTCATCGGACTAAATTTGTTATGTGTTATGTTGGTGCGACTACACATTTGCACGAACCAGGGAAGCTGGTAATTTAAAATTTTTAAATTTATTAAATCATTTCAATCAAGCCGATTTCATTTATACTCTTTTTCTTTTCATTAGTTTTGTTATTAGATATCCCACATTGATAATAGAAGTTCTTCCAGGAATGGTGAAATGTTGTAAGAGCTAAGGCACAAATTTACTGAGGATCACATTGCAATCAAGGCACTCCATAAACATTTTTGTCGTAGTGAATTGTTTTCTCCTTTGATAAGAGTAGCATTCTTTATGTCAAAAATGTGGTCAGTCTTATTACGGTTGGTAGCCAATGGATTTGATGTATTCTTTTGAAAAATGTCCCCTTTGTGTTCCTATAACCTTTTATTTATATTCCTTGAAGTTTCACGTATCTATTTTTGTGACAATTATTACAGGTGATCGAGTAACTTCCTACTTCAAGTTTTAACTTGTTGTTTTGTTTAATATTGACTAAGTCTTTTATTGTTTTAGATGTAGTAGTAATAAATTGTATGTTGAGTTTAGATTATTTTCAATTGCAGATGTCATACAATTGGTAGGACAATATATTCTTTGATTCATTTGGGTTTGTTACGAGGGGGCCGTTTTTCTATTTTAGAATATTTTATAAGCCTTTTGTTTCGCATTGAATATAATATAATTAGGCTACTGAAGAAGTTTGAAAGTTTTTTCTTTGTGTAAATATTGAAGGCTAAAAATTCTAAGTGCTCTTAAGTAGAATCCGATAATTATACAGGATTTCATTTTGTTGTTAATGTGGGAATAGAAATTTTTTAGATCGTATTTGTTGGCTGATTTCCAATGGACACCAAGTTTTAAACAGCTTCTTCCAGCGAATCATTGCCCTATGGAACAGACTTCCAAGAGGATTACTACAATCTTAACCTGTTGAAGTCTACAGTCAACCATTATCTTTCCCTCTTAACCATATAAACTATCCCTTAACGTAACCCTCTACTTCGAGTGACCCCGGACCTTGTACAGGGTGAACCTTACCGTAAAAAAGCTTGATATCGAGGAAAGGTAAGGAATTGTATTCTTCTATTTCGTACGTAAATTCTATTAATATTCGACTTCGTTTAGTTTATTTACAAGGTCAGGTAAATCAGTACCAAGAGGTTATATTAATAGGGCGTCACCAATATATCGGGAGTATGTTGATTGTTTGGGTAACATATTTTAGAAGGGTTCAGATTCGTAGAATTCTAAGAAGATACAAGGCATCACTCCAATAGGAGGAGAATCCATTGGTAATCCAAATTTTTGTTTGTAAAAAATCCTTATTAAATGGGAAACAGCGTTGATTGGTGATGAAACCGCAAATCTTTATTATTTCAGTTGTTGGTATAAATAACTTTACTTTTGATTGTTTTACATGCTTTTTAGGAGATTTAGGCATTTTTCAACTGGGACGTTGATACGTAAAGCTATTTTATATCTAGAATGACCAGGAGTTTGTCAATCATATTCATTTCAGCTTGGCTGCCCGAGTTCTTTATATGAAGACTGATTGTTCCAAGGAAAGGGGTAAAACCTTTTTTTTATGGCTTTCGCCAGCTTGTGGGAGCGCTGTCTATTCCTGGGATGATGGGGCGCATCGGGATACTTGTTTTGTGGGTTTTAGGGAGACCGTAAAGTTTGGGTGCTTTAGGGTGATATTCTATGAGTCTACAAGATTTGTTTTCATTTTTAATTACTCTTCTAATCTACTTGTTAAATTTTTGTATTTCAATAATTATTTTCTGTTCGTTTATTTTTCGTATGTGTCGGTTTCGTTGAGTAGTGGATTAATTGTTTCTACATATATATTCTTGTTCATGATCCCAATCCCACCTTCCTTGTCAGAAGGAGTGATGTAGATTTCCTTACTTCGTGCATTTAGGTGTCTCTGTGGTAATGTATTTTGGTTGTTGGTTTTTATAGTAGCAGAAGTACCAATCCACATGTAAATAGTCCCGTCAGTTTTGACAGGTACTATGTACTATGCTAATAATAATAATAATAATAATAATAATAATAATAATAATCGTGAAATCGAGAAAAAGTGCTTTTTTGTACATAAAGCCGTAATTTCGACCGATGACTTTTCTTTTTTTACAGCGAGGTTCAGCCTTTACAAGGCACGGGATAACTTGAGGTAGATGGTTACGTTTGGAGGTCATTTGTCTGTATAGGAGTGGAAGATACCGGTTAACCCTGGCCTTGAACAGATTAAGATTGTAGTGATCGTGGAAACATCCTGTTGGGAGTCGGTTCCACAGGGCAATGGTTCGCGGGAAAAAGCTGTTCCAGTGGAACTTACTTCTCACCAATGGAATATGGAGGGAATGGAGACGATTTGCCATAATGGGATTGGCATGGCGTGTTCTTGCTGTGAAGGTTTGCCTCGGCGGGACCAGGGAATTTAGTTCGTCCGTGCACCTTCTGTGGAAGAAGCGGTAGAGCAGCGAGAGGTGGGAGAGTGGTTGAAGGGTGCGGAATAATTCGTCACCCACAAGTGCTCTGAGACGTTTTTGGACTCTGTCAAGGCTGAAAAGTGAGGTCTTGGCCGCAACCGCCCAAATACGACAACAGTACTCTATTCTTGGCTGATCTGGCTCTTGTAAAGATAGAGGATAGCAGGAAGTGTCAGGTCCTTACTGGCACGATACAGAGAGACGACCATTTTGCCTGCATCCTTAGCAATGGTACGAATTCCACTTCAGGTCGTGTGTGGGTTTGAAGCCCAGCATTCTTTCAAGACACGGTGCTTCCCCGAGATGACCCCCGTTCATCCTGATTTATGGTAGTTCGGGGTCAGATAGGCGATGATGGATGGTAACTAGCTTGCTCTTCGAGGCATTGAATTTAACCGGCCAGTTTCTACCCGATCGGGTAGTTTGTGCAAGATCGGAGGAGTGATCAGTCGCTAATTTTTGACTATCGAGAGTTTCAGAGGTGCGCCCGTATATAGTCGTACCATCGGCATAGATGTTTGCAAATGATCTGAGGGTTGGTCCAATGATTCACCCCTGTGGTACGCCTGCCTTGACCTCTAGGACACCAGAAGACTGAGCATTGATAACTACCTTCATGGACGTACCTATTAGGAAGGATTTTGAATCCATAAATCTTCCGGTGATTTCATAACTGGAGAACTTGTGTAGTAAGCCTTTGTGCCACACATTGTCGAAGGCCTTTGAGATATCTAGTGGTAGGGGTGTTTGTCGTCAAGAGCCTCATTGATTCTGTGAGCCGTGATAGTTAGGACTCGGCAGTGGATCGGGACGACCGAAAGCCATACTGCTGGTCGCTGAAAAAGGTTGTTCTTTTCTAGGTGCTCGATGATCTTCTTATTGATTATGGCCTCAAAAAGCTTGCTGTTGATACTGAGGACACTGATGGGGTCTGTACTGGATGTGGGAAGATCGCACGCCCGCGTTCTTAAAAACTGACATTTTCTACGAGCTTGTGAAGGATTTCTTCTTCAAGCATTAGTTGAATAACCTTGCTAGGATTGAGGATAATTCCAGGTTAATGTTCTTAAGGACAACCACTGGAATTTTGTCTGGAATAGTGGCTTTTTTAGGATCAAAGCCTTTGACAAATGTAGAGACTTCATGCGCTGTGATGGTAATATTACTGAGATTGTGTTCAATGAGAACTTCGATAGGGATGGTCTTTGTCATCTAATGTTGAGTTAGAGGCAAAGATGAAGAGATTTGCCTTATCTGCTGAGGAAGATATAACCTTGGGTCCATTTATAATTGTGAGCACAGCCGCTTTACCGCTGTTCATGATTTGCTGATCTTCGAGAATTTACGGGATTCAATTTGTTTCTTTTCAACCTTGGTCTGGACTGCTCATGCATAGCTGCACTTAGCGTTTTCTAGAACTTCTTAGAACCGATTGCGGGCAGTTCTGAATGAAGTGAGTGCTGAACGACATCGCCCCTTGCGATATGTATTGAAGTAAGGGTTTCGGTGAGTTATGGTTGCGGCACATTAAGGGGTGAACTAGGTTTGCCTGTTTGTTTTTTGATGGAATTCTTTTGGTTATAAAACTCTCCATTTCAGCAAGGATCCAAGCAGAAACAAGGGCAGCAGTTTCTGAGGCTTGAAGAAGGTTGGGAGGGGAGCTTCCACCATGTAGGAGCGAAAGCTGTCCCAGTCTGCCTTCGCATAGCGAAAAATCGTTCTATTGAACGTTACATCAGGAGATACCTTAGGTTGCTTCAATCTGGACACTGATTAGAAAATGGTAGTGGAGGTGGAACTTTTGATAAGCATTTATCAGAGCAGGAGGTTAGGAAGAAGTCGAGGAGGTTCGCCTGATGTCTGGGACCCCGGTAAGTTCGATGATTTGGGTTAGCTCATAGGTGATGGAGAAATCTGCGTAATATCCACCTTCAACATCGGCCAGTGAATCTCGCATCTCCCTCCCACGAAAGCGCCAGTGATATTCTGCCTTTTCCTCACATTTGGTGAAAATCTCACTCAGAATTTTTCTGTTGTATATTTTCGACAATGTTTTTCTGTTTAACTTTTTTTTATTGTTTGAAGTGTTTCATGTTTATTTAATTTTTCTTTAAATTTCTGTGTTTTTTCTTTAAATTTCTGTGTTACAGTGGACCTGTACTCTGATCCATAATGCTTATCCTTTGCAAGCTTGATTTTTTTCTCTAGAATAGGTAACTCACCCTTTGAAGGTCCACGCCCTAGTAACTATCTACGATACTAATTCAAATGCGGGTAGGGGATGCACGAGAAACCCTCGTTAACCCCCTTCTCCCATCGGTTCTCTTAATCCTTAAGTATATGAGCGAGCTTGTCTCGGTGCCTTTGAGTCTCGGACCGGTAAGATGTTTGTGACCCAAGGAGGAATTATCTTGCCTTGGCTTCTCGGCGGTCATGACATGTCCACTCGGACACTACTCGGATATAACGCATATATTTTCTTTCCTGGGTTGATTGTCCTTTCATTTTTTTCTGGGGTTTTCTGGGTTTTGGCGTTATTCACCTGATAGTCAGGAATCCGAACCTTCGAGTAACTCCAAAGGTGGCTATCCTATTAGCAGGTGTATAATGTCGGGGCTATTGTAGTACCATTTTGTGAATGTTTTTTGGACCGTGAATTAGACTCAGGTTGGGCCTCTCAATGCCACGATGAAGGGCACTGCTACGGCTATAAATCTGAACGATTCTCTCCAAGGTATATATACATGGAACTCCTGCGAGTGTATCTGTTTCTCTGCTTACTAATCTTCCACCAACCAATGCACACATGAATCTATTCAAAATGCAAATGTACAAAACTATCAAACCCAACCTACACCCCCCCCCAAAAACCCCTAAAAACAAAAAAACAGACGCCTCTTATACTGTTTTTTAAACCAACGTGAGGGGTCTACGTTCCAACCTTCCAGAAGTGGAACATCATCTTCTCTAATCTAAACCAGACATTCTGTTACGCTCATGAAACCGGTACGAACGCTTTATGCTCACTAGGGGAGTTCACAATCCCGGTCTATTCACTTCTTATAGGCAAACATGACCACCTAAATCGCCACGACCACGGACTCGGTGCCTTCCTCAATGACGAGTGTCTCTATGGCAGGAAGGCAAAAAACGAGGAAGGCAATCTCACGTATATGTGGTTCCGTGTGGCACTTATCCATAGTATCACATTCGCCTTTGCTCTCTACCGCCCTCAGGACGAAGGGGCGGCAATCTTTGATCGAATATCTGAGAAGATTGATAATATGTTCACTCAATTCGCCTCGGCCAGCTTTCATATCTGCAGTGACTTATGTGATTACAGTATCTGCAATTAGCGTTGTCTCCGACCGGACTAACAAAGTGAAGATGATATTACGAGAGAGAGAGAGAGAGAGAGAGAGAGAGACAGACAGACAGACAGACAGACAGACAGACAGACAGTGGAGGGAGAGGGAGAGAAAGAGAAGAAAGAAATTGATTACTATTGGGTAATGTAGAAAACAAGAAGCCACAAAATAGTGTCAAGCCAATCACCACAGCCATTATTTTCCACCGAGTCCACCATATCCTTTTGTACACTTAGTGGTAATTTATAGTCGATCTTTCTTTCTTTCTTTCTTTCCGCCAGACTGTTTTTCTGACTGTCTGTCTGTCTATATATCATTTGGAAACATTTTCCAAACTCAGCATCTTTCACGGTTATTTTCTTTTAAAATTTAATCAAGCTTAACAGACATGATTATCACAATAAACGATTTTTAATTTCAAAGTCACTTATTTATGTTGAACTTTCTCCGTTTTAATCAAATTCTTGTTGAAATGTTTACCATGTCTTCCCTGGAATTTACATGCAGAAATCTGTGGTGCCTTAAAAAAATGTACAAAATTACTTTTTTGTTTCTATCTTTTCTTTTCTCTGGCTTAATATTTCAAATATCCTCATGAAAAATTGATTATGAAATAGCAAGCCTCCTGAATAAAATTTACTTGTCGCTATATTCCCTGCAAGATTCGATCAATTCTGGAACTCTGTGGGGTTATAAATAATTCCATACGTTTATTGTGCTCCCGACGCTCCCCACAAGAGTGTGTCTTTTTTTAAAATCCCAATTATTATTAACATCATGATTAAGACGAATAAAATACCTCGATTTTGTTACATTTACGATTTAAATATTTGTATTAATAGAGAATATATTCACTTGCGGTAGATTTTATCTTAATCAGAAAGAAAAAAAAAGTTAAAAAAGAAACAAAAAACAGAGACTAGACAAAAAAGAGATACTGCTTCTATAATTCGAGCTGTTCATGCCTCAGTTTCCTGACATGTTGAAAATCGTTTACACAGACATGTGGGGGGGGGGGAGGAAGACTTATCATCTACTCAGTGGTCTCTTTTCCTCAAGACGCAACGTTGCAAGCCGGTCTCTACTCTATCGATTATTACCACGGCAAATGTCCAGATGAGTTCCATTCTCCAGTTACTCCAGTTCAGGCCTTTCCTGCGGGGGGGGGGGGGCACGCCATCCTATTTCCACAGAGCTGAATGACCTTCATTTCCTTCGTATTCCAAATGTAAAGAGAATGTCGAATCCAGACAACCTTTTTTCCCCAAGAAATGCTACTTTCAGACTCCCATGCTTTCATGAACACTACGCTGCTTCAAGTCAAGGGCCACTCATTATCTATCCTCCTTATCATCATAATATTCATTCCCTACCAGCTCCTCTTTCATTCATATCAGATTTTATTCATCATAACCTTTTTAATAGTAATCATCTACCCGGAGCTGATCAATACAGGAACCAATAAGTGTCTGAGTGTTAGAGAAAAACAATAGCAATAAATTTAATCTGAACTCTGGTAAAAAATGATTACTAATACAATAGTCCCAAAAGTTTATTCACTGATGTTCCTCAGGACACATGGCCTAGAGTTAGTTGAAGTAATCCAGTTACTTGACCCAAAGAGTTGTGAGTTCAATACCAGGTGAATAGAGGTGAAGAAAATCTTGGAAATAATTGAAACTGAGATATAATTAAAGGGCATGGTACATGAGACAAGTACAATCCACCCCATTGGACGAAATAAAGGTTTCGGTCCGAAATTACAATGTATATCACCTGAAGAAGTCGCAGCGTACAACGGCCGAAACGTCGTGAATATTACAATAAAGATGAGGACAACAGCTCGAACAATGTAAATAGTGTAAATACATTCCTACAACCTGCATTCGGCGGGATTCCAACCAGTATGTTTTAGTTAATACTTAACCATTATTATATTTCAGTAGTCAAATACAAAAAAAAAAAAAAACATGCTCTGTATATTACAATATCCTGTTTCAAGATTTACAAAGAGAAAGATATCAAAGTGTAACAAGCGGGTGTACGGATAAAAAAATATAAGGAAAATTTTAAATTTAAATTTAAATCTATGATAAAAGGGGGCTGATGCATTGTCTGTCACGCACTCTTTGCGTGTGACATTGCATACTCGTATGTAATGTATCCGCGTATGTCCGTATTGTGCGTGAGCCACTTATACGTGCTTGTGCCATTTAATGTACACACAAGCATACGTACATACACATATGTGCACAATTTGACCGAGTTTGAAATAAGATTTTGGAATAATACATCTGGACAATACTTATCGTACAATAAAATCATAAATTTGGAGAAAAAAGGTATAATTTTTTTAAACCGAAAAAAAATCAGATAATTATAAGGTTTTATTGAACTTTTCGTAAATTATTTGGTAATAAACAGAATTTTAAAATTTTGCAGTAATATTTTTAGGGATGTCACTGAATCCATGAGGATATGCAAACGTACATGCATACATTCTAAATTAAATTGAAATGTGTATCTGTGTCGCGAGGGATAAATTCCCTTTCTGTCTGGCAACAACCATTGGATAACAGGAAAATAATATAAGCTGTAATGTGCAACACTTTGAGCTTATTTGTATGAATCAGTCTGTATTTAAACTAAATATATTTTCTAATAAATACAGTGTGTTAACAATTTAGATTTGAAATTTGATTATTTTGCCGTCAACGGACAAAAAATCATTTGTCTCGCACTTGTTTTTTTTTCATCAAGTACAAGGCCCAAAGAGAAGTTTTTGGGACTATGCAGGAAAAATAACAGCTAATTCTAGACATGAAAAGAAATTCTTTGTAAGAAATCTGTTTGTAGATCAGGTTTCATTGACGTATTTTTTATAAAGAGGGTTTTTGTCAAGAGTCAAATGTATAGCTGGTAATTTTTTACAATGATTTGATGATAATATTTTTTCACAAAATTTAATGCTGGTATTTTTTATTATTTTTTATACTTACATAGCGTTTTGACCAAAGTTTTGGGGTTAGCTATTTACCCATACGTGGGACCCTAAAAGGTGCTACCACCCCGGCTCAGGGTGGACCTGTGAACAGAAACAATTAAGAGGTAGTTCCACGCTCCTTATGTATCCCAGAAATTTCTGCTGTGTCTTCCTGATGTCCTTTTTGTTTCCATTTTCTCCATAAATTTGTCGTTACTCGCATGTTCACTCCATGTTATCCTCAGCATCCTTCTGTAGAACCATATTTCTGTTACTTCAAGTCTCTTCTTCATTTGTGAGGAGATTTTCCAGAATTTACTGCAATATAGGATGATTTATATTATGTTAGAGTTCAGTAATCTATTCTTTGTTTCTAACGGATTTTTTTTCTGTTTCTTAATATTCTGCTTAGCTTTTGAAAGGCACTTTCGCTATCCCAAAACGCCTTCAGATTTCAGTGTTGCTCTTGACATAGACAAAAACGAAAAGAATATCTCTGTAAGAAGTTGAGGATGATTGTACAGCGGCCGGATCTTTGGAGGGGAAGTCGAAATGTGATAAGGTAGCTTATATATCGTAACAATATAAATATGTTGCTTTGGTATAGGAGAAAGGCATATCTATAATGGGGTAGAATTTATTTTTGTTAATGGAAACAACGAAGTTGGATATTCGAGGAAATAATACAGATGGAAAGTGTGCTGACAGTAATTTTATTAAAGCTGGGTCTGTCTGTGAACATCACTACTTTTGTAAGTGCGAGATTGAGAAAGGAACTTGGAGATGTCCAGAATTTTAGCATTATTGGCTCTAATGACAAATTCGACAACAGTGTCAGCAGAAAGGTAGCGATGGCGAGGAGATTTACAAGATTCTACTATTGAAAAGCTTTCCTCCCCGGATTCGATCGGCAATAATGTATAAGACGCCATTATCGTCGCCGGACCGACCCGTTGCAATCAAGTTCAATGAAAGAAAGATAAGTATTGAGTGAGTTCGTCAAACCAATTTGAAAATGCCGTGAGCCATTCTCTTCCCCGCACCCGTATGCCAATTCTAAAAAGGACCCCTATCATCTCCCGTTATTGTCCATGTAGCTTATACATCGTGTCTCACATTTTAGTGTATTCTTCCATGAAAACAAGGGCTTCTAGCCTGAAGGGGAAGAAAGAAAAGAAGAACGTAAATTAAGATGACGAAAAGGTGGCTGAGGAAAAGAAGAAAATGCGAGTCGGAAATAAACGAAAATGAATTGAGGAATGAATTTTAAGAAAGACGAGGAATGAGATATAAAAACAATGTTGAAATTGGAGACAAAACAGGAAGGAGTAAAAGAGGGGAGATAAGGCAAAAGGAAGAATAAAGATGGAAAGAGAAGAGAAACGGAAGGAAAAATAGAAAAGAAAAAATAAATGCGAGACAGACGGAGAAAAAAGATGCGTGAAAAGAAAAAATCGGGCATGAGAACGTAAAAATGTTTAGATACACTTTTTAATGAAGAAGACTAGAAGAAGAACACGTGGGGGTGGGGAGAATAAGACGAACGAAAGAGAGAGAGAAATAAATAGGGAAAAGAAAAGGAGAGAGAACCGGGTACGAGCAAATAAAATAAAAGACAAAGTAGAGAGGCAGAAACGAAAGAAGAGCATAAGAAAAAGGCATGATAAAAAGAAAGGTGAGGACGAGATAGAAAGAAAGAAAGAAAGAAAGAAAGAAGAAAAAGAAGAAGAAGAAGAAGAAAAGTGAACACTAGCTTTAATATCACATTCACAAGTATTTTGTTTGTGAATAAATACCGAAAAAAAAGTGAGAATAAAAAGAACTGATTAAAAAAGGAAAAAAAAAAAAAAAAAAAAAGAAAAGAAAAAAAGCCGGAGTTGAAAATGGGGAAAAAAGACGATAAAGGAAACGAATGAATAGAAGAAAGCGTCATGACGTATTGAGAGTAGACGAATAAAATCTCTTGTGAAGCCAATTGTCAACAAGTCGACTGAATAGAATCTCTTCTTGTTCCACGTCTGCAACATAGCCATGTCGTCTGCAGGGGCGTTGGTAATGGTGGCTGCCGAGCGGACATTGAAATACACTTATCGATGGGCGGACAAATAGATAACCTTTCGGGGAAATCTTATTTTTGACGCTTTTTTTTTCCTGTGGCAATTTTTAACTTTTTTTTTTTTTTTTTTATTAACGTTTCATTTATTTTTACCTTATTTTTTTTTTTTTTGCCTCGTGGCCTTCCATAGCTAATCCCTCTATTTTGTCGACCCTTTTAACGGTCTTGTATCTCCCAATACGTTCAGTTCATTTATTTATTTCTCACATTTACTTTTCACTTTTTCAAGTTTTTTTTTCTTTATCGGCATCACTTAACCATTCTTTTCTATTTTCTTTCTTTTTTTCCACTTATCACCATTTTTATTATTCACTTTATTATTTTTTCTTATTGTGTAAAAAAATCTTCCTCTTTTTCTTCTTCTTCAATTGTTTCACTTCTCCCTCATTTTATCTCTTTCTATCTGTATACAAATGTATTCCGAATACGGGAAGTGTTTTTTCTTCCTTTCTTTTTTTCTTTTTTTTTCTTTCTTTCTTTCTTTCTTTCTTCTTTCTTTCTTTCTTTCTTTCTTTCTTTCTTTCTTTATTTCTTTATTTCTTTTCTTTCTTTCTTCAATAACTTTGAAAATATTTGTAACGGTTCTTTCTTTCTTTTCTTCCTCTTTGCTCTGATTAGCTACTTCTTGTTTACATTTTTGTTTTATTCTTCCTTCCTTCTTTCCTTTCCTTTCTTTCTTTCTTTCTTTCTTTCTTTTTTCTTTCTTTCTTTCTTTCTTTTTTCTTTCTTTCTTTCTTTTTCATCGCAGGTGTAAAGATCTCTTTCGTTTTTTCTTTCATTTTCTACACAGATTTCTTTCTTTTTTATTTCTCATCACTAATGTAAAGAATTCTTTATTTCAATCTTTTATATTCAACAGGGTTCTTTCTTTCTTTCTTTCTTTCTTTCTTTCTTTCTTTCTTTCTTTCTTTCTTTCTTTCTTTGTCCTTCTCCAGTTTGTCCTTATCCTCCTCTTAAATTCTCTTCATTTTTCAATTCTCTTTCATATTTACACTTTTTCTTTTAAGATCTCCTTCAAGTTTTATGCGACTATCTCTTTCTTTTTTTTCGCTCAACCTGTTTCAAAATCTTGTTTTTGTCAGTCTGCGACAGTGAAAGCATCTTCGACCTAGTTTTGGTCAGTGCGGATCTGCGTGTGGCACAAAGAAATATCATTGTTCGAATATTCTCCGCTACCCTCAACATTACAGCTTACATCCAACCTAATATCACGATCAATCCTTCCCCAATACTTCCATCCCAATTGACATCTGTTTAAAAAGAAATTGCCAGAAATCTGACACCAAAGGCCCACTCTATCTATCGGACAAGAAATAACTGACCCTTTCGGCAAAGAACATAGTTCTAGCAGAGTTTTAGGATATGTCACTGGTTGCAGTGGCATGGTTAAGGGCGTGATGGACGAGGAAAAGTGATTTTTGTGTGTTTTGGCTTTTGAAAGTGGTGCGATCTGGTCGAATTGCATGCAGTAACCTTCACTGTAGACATTGGGTGACTGGAGAAAGTAAGAAAGGAGTGTAAAGAAGTTGAGAAAAAGGCAAGGAAAAAGGCAAGAAAAACAGGGATCATGTGAATGAGAAAGAAAGAAATTTGAGGGAGATTAATAAAGGAATAAGTAGATTAAAAGTAGAAAGAGAATTGAGAAAAGAAAATCAACGAAAAAGGAGAAGAGAATGTGAATATAAATGAATGAATAAATGAACACACAAACAAACAAATAAACACACACACACACACACACATACATATACATACATACATATATATATATATATATATATATATATATATATATATATATATATAATAAATGACAGAATGAAAAATACCCTACAAATCCTATGTGACTCGTTTCGTGTTTCGTCCTTCAAAAGGACTTCTTAAGAGTAAGTAATGTTTTTAATCGTATATATATATATATATATATATATATATAAAAAATGATGATACAAATATAGTTTTAGGTTATGCTATACAGATGGATAAAAGTGCACAATATTAAGGATAAAGAGTATGTAAATATAAAAATGGACACTGAGGCCAGCACCGAGCGGTGACAATCTGTTTTATGCTTAAGCGCAATCTTCAGGTTATGTGTCTCCCAACACACACACACACACACACACACACACACACACACACACACACACACACACATATTTATATATATATATATATATATATATGTATATGTGTGTTGGGAGAGCGATGTACATGCAAACAAACATGAGTTCTAAATTGTATTTGTTCCCTCTCCCTATTTATATATGATCCGATCAATAAAAGCATTTTTTGATCTGGAAGGACAAAACGTGTGTCACATGGGTTTTTTAAATTTTTAATTCACTTATTCACCATTTTGACTTGATGTATTATATTCGGCCATAAATATATGAATGGGCAATTTTACAATCATGTTTCCTGAAGAGTAAACGACATCTCCAAGAACCTCAGAATAAATTCCAGGGAAGTGAATATTTCATCTTAATTTTTCCTTATTAATACTCTGACTCTTGATACTAAGCACTATAATTATAAAGACTGCTTGCCAGATTATATCTCAGAAATATGCTCAATAGTATTTTGGCTTGGTGGGAGGCTAATTTTTGTTATTTTTAGATTTTCTTGTCTGGTCGGTTTCAGTTGCTTTTTGTCTTCTATCAACACCCCGTATATATATATATATATATATATATATATATATATATATATATATATATATATATATATATATATATATATATATATATATATATTCAGCCAAGCATGGCTGGAGTGCCACTAGCACGCAAGGGATTACAGAGAGTGAGAGTAAGAGTAAAGAGGAGTGTTTGGTAAAAGGATAAAGAGAAGGACAAGGCTCAAGGTCAAAACATCAGAAGATGTCGATTGACATTACATTTGAATATTTGAAGATTATAGCTATCGGGGAAGCAAGTGATAGGAAAAGAGTTCCACTGACCGGAGGAGCGAGATAAAAAGCTGTTGGAGTAGAAAAGATGGCTACATTTAGTCGTTTCGACAGTGAAAGGGTGGGACCGAGATGCCAACCTAGTAGCACGTTTAAATTTATGCAGTTTGGGAACCAGTGAAAGTAGCCCGTCGCAGTAGTTGTCATGAAAATTCTTGTAGAAAAGACAGAGGGAAGCTACAGTACGTCTGTGAGATAGCGGCTGCAAACGGGATGCCAGATGGGACATTTTTTTTAGGAGGATGGACACAAGTACCATAGCTGTTTTATTGATTTGTTGGTGATGTGTTTTACTGTTTTATGGTTTGTTTTTTTGTTTTGTTTTGTATTTTTTTTGTTTTTCGTCTTATTTTTACTTCCTTTTATTGTCGTGCAACAAAAAAAAAAAAAGAAAAAAATTGAGAAGACTGGGCGGAAGATTACCTTTTAACTAAGTCTCCGCTCCCGTTTCTGTATATATATTTTAAAATCTGATAATAAATAAAGATTTTTTACTATGGGAAGACATGTAGATACACTTTAAGTTTAGGAAAAGTCAATAAGATTGTACTGCGTCATTTATTCTCTTTGAAATAAGTAAGGATTTTTTATGGCACTAGACACGGCTAGTAGTGCATGTGAAAAATATCAGCCATTACAGACACTAAACACACATCATATACGTAGGTACACAAAATATAAGTGTTTATAATATATTTGATAATTATATATGAATATAAGAGAAAATGAGACATTTTTTTATGTTAGGCAAATGAATGAAAAACTGGAAAAATTCTGTGTAACGTGTTTCATCCTTTAGAAGGACTTCATCAGAATATAGTAATGTTTTTATTAATGGAGTTATATATCTGTAGGTGGCGAGATAAAAAATGCGAGCATCGGTTATAATTATGTATTGAGTAGAAACGTTGTAGATGTGAGAACGCTGAAATTTAAATTTAGAAATTTTTATATAATCTAGCCGATCTCATTCATTTTTTACTCGTTTATTTTGTTTTTGTTTTTTGTTTTGATCGATTTTATTTTGAAGTATTCCGCATTGGAATAACAGATCTGCCAAGAACGGTGAAATGTAGTAAACACCTGGACGCAAATTTACCGTGGATGATTTAGCAATCAAAGAACGTTTTTAAAATACATTTTCGCTTTAGTAAACTGATTTCTCTTTTAATTAAAGTAGCATTTTTAAATTGATATTAGGGTCAGACCAATTACGGTGAATGATTGTAAAATATCTCTTCGCGAACTCATAAACTTTTATTTAAATCTAATGAAACGAGATCCATTGCTGAACCCACCAAATCTATCAAAATACCATATATTTTCATAAGGTTAACTGAAATATCTATGGAGGATGCTAAATGACATAATTTAATGTCTTATAAACGAAAATTAGTAAATGATGTTGATTTAAAAAAAATAACAGGCGATTAAGAATAACCGTTTTCTTATAATTTTTAGAGTCATGTATGTTGGCTTGGGATAGGAATAATTTTTTCAGGAATGTAGATATTTGAAAAAATCCGGGCGTAGATTTATATTTTGATAAAATTCGATAGCGGCACTCTCGAAAATTTTCCGTCTAAGTTACTTTCACTTTCAATATAAGTGTAGATCAATGTTGTGGTTGAATTTATTTCTAGGTGTATAACTAATGCATTTGACAAAGTGTTGTGTATAAGTTCCTTTTTGAGTTCATAGATACATATTTAAAATTTTTTTGCTAGTTTCATATATATATATATATATATATATATATATATGTGTGTGTGTGTGTGTGTGTGTAAAGTGAGAGAGTAAAAAGAGAAAGATTACAAATAAGCGTGTTTGCCGATCATTGAATGTGATTGTTTGAATAATCAGTTTCCACTCTGACTTTTACAGTATTGAAGCAGTATAAAAGCCGACGAAAAATGACGCATTGATCGAAATGCCGCGTGCGACAAATGGATTATTTCCACTCAACCATTGCCAAAGAAAGAGATTTTTCGCCAAATGACACGTTTACTCACTTGGAAGGCAATCTGTTCCAATCTGCCTGGAAGGTTCGACATTTTTCTCTTTCTTTTTTTTTTTTTTTTTTCTTACCTGTGAATATGTTTTTTTTAAATGAAATTCGTCGTCATGAAATAGAAATTATCAGGTAATCGAAATATTTCGTACGGTTTTCGATATTTTTTTTATTTCAGTTTGTCACAGTGAAAAGCTGGATAAATTTCAATCTATGGAACTGGTGAACTTGTGGGATATGCAGGTAACAGTTGTGCCAATAACTATTGGAGCATTTAGAATAATTCTGACAAGCTTTGCAAAGATGTTAAAGAACTGGGAATTTGAGAGTGAATTGAAACTACTAGGGTGGATAAACACGTGTTATTAGCTGAATTTTGATCAGAAATTTTCACTCTATAATGCGTTCTGTGTTATTAATATCCACCATTTGAATTAGCGGCACTGACAGGCAATGAATTGAAAAATAACTATTTGTCTGGTAAAAAGGGGCTTCTCAAACTAGAGGTTGCAACTCATCGAGGTCTCGTAAAGATTATTGGGGGTTGAAGAATCTTTTAAAGATGAGAAATGTACATGCCTTAACACTTGTCCTTCAAGAAAATGTTTGTATCCATAGTAACAATAGCTCCATGACGTCAAAACCTTCCAAAATATTAAGCACTGAAAGGGTTAAATGTGTTTACATGTGTCATTTAAAGTTTTAATTACATGAAACCGTTCCTGAAATGGCTTAGATTTGTCAAAGAATATAACCGCAGATAATATTGAACATTTATAGCTTCCATTTCCACCATTTATAGTTTGCATTCGCCAGTGGTAATAAGAATTTGCAAGTATTAAACTGAGTCATTAATAACTTCCGCTTTTTATGATGTTTATTCTTCAAAAATAGAGTAGAATAAAATTCTATTCAATTATACAAGTTGTCCCGTAATGATGAGGCACATTTCAAATATAAGTATTTTGGATTATAAAAGTGATATCAGTCAGTCAGTTATGTGCCATGCGTGATACACGCTTAGGCGATCATGTATCTTTCGATACATGACTGATGAGGAATATTTTTCCTCGCAGTAGGTTGCCATTTCTTTCTGTGGTAGACCAGTTGCCA